TGACAATATTACTGTTTGGTCATGAGACCGCAATGTATGACACGACTGACAAGATTCACGTATGATATTTGCGCAACGCACCAAATGTTTCTTCGATAATATTACATCTCAGCCTATAAATAATTTAGAAAATGTACTGAAGACAACATAATTCCATAATGTCAACTTACTTTTTCCTTCGCCGTATCCTAATCGTCCAAGTCGTCCAATAACAATTTTCCAAGGCATGGTAGTACTTGTTATTATACGCATAATGAAATTCCATAATTTTTGTAAACCAATATGTCGAGCATGCTGTATTTTTCGTCGATGTCTGAAATAAATAAGCAAATTTTATCTTCTGTTCCGCACAGTGATCGCTTTTCTCATTTTTTATTCAATGAGAGACAATGGTTAATTCACCTGTCGGGTATTTCAATATTGATTGAACATGTTTCTAATAACTCTCCTCTATCATTTGAACAACTAACTAATAAATAACGTTGATCATCAGATAAACAATATGAACAAAATAATACACAGTCATTCTTCGATATTTCATTTGGATCAGAAAGTGATTTATACCAAAAATCAGATTTTGGTGATAATATGTACGCTAGTGTATATAATTGCATGAGCTGAAACCACAAAAAAACATGAAATACATCCATATTATAGTTGGTATTTGAGTGTGATAAAACAGTGTGAAACTTGAAAATGTTACTGTAGCCCAACAACAGATTCAAATGGTACAATCTAAACATGATAAAAATACAATTTTTAATTGTCTATGAATAAGAAAAATTCTATACTTGTATATTAATTTTGGTTGCTATTTTATCTGGTAATAGTTTAATAAGATCCATATAGGGCACGTACTACACCCTTCTTTACATGACATTCTAATTCATCATTATCTTGATTCGAATTACTATCATCAATAAAATCATAAAGAAATGTGTCAATAATATATAAAACAATGAAGAGTTGGTCATCATTTGTTATTCGACCTTGTTGTAAACTATCAAATGCTAGTAAATCATGAGGATCAATGGCACTGTTCATGAGATTATTGTTCATACTATCACCAAGTCCACCGGTAATAGCATTGGATGAAGAATTGAAATTGGCATATAAATTCACATTTGATTTATCGGCTGATGAAGGAGATGAAGATGGGGCTGAAAGACCAATGTCATTACCACTATTCATTTCAACTGATGACGGTGTGGTCGATGTATTCGAAGAAATATCATTTGGAGCACGAAATACTTCACGCTTTGGTGCTTCTTCATGAAGTGTATGATCAAGAGTTTGAGTTTGAAGTAGATGCTCTAAAATGATTAAAAAATAGATAAAAGTTAACTGAAGGTAACAAAATTGAGTTCTGATCATCCTAATCCACAAACTTCAAAAAGAACAAAAATGATGTTATATACGATCTTTTCTTTCCATTTTTCATCGAAAACAAAGGTGACTAACATGTAGACATCTCTTGCTTATAGTTCAGTAAAATACAGTTAATTTTCATTACTAAAAGAAAACAAACAGACGTACGTAGGCATGCACCAAACGGATATTTCGGTTGCGAACGGTTTGGTGATCGAACATGTTCGGTAACAAACCGTTCAGTGCCGATCAGCGATTCCTAGTTTGGGATTGTTGCATGTCTAGACGTACGTAAATTTGCTTTCAATGTCTGAGCATACAATTTTAATCTTGCGCCAACTGGATGTGTTTCATTATCAGTAAACCATTGGTCAACAGGAATAGATGATGTCGGTACATTCGACATCGTCGTTGTTGTGGATGATGATGAGTCACTATTTTGAGAAGAGAAGGTCGATGCACTATTTATTCTTAATAATCCGTTATCTCGAAACCATTTTAATAATGGTCGATGAACACCAAGACGGCATAATTCGTAATGTGTTGAAAATTCACGAAAGTAAACTTTTGTCATTGAACATATATAATCATTGTCCGGCGCAACACATATGTAAGCAATATCTTTTGCTTTTGAATACGGTTCCAGACATAATTAAACTCTTTAAACTGTTGAAAAAATTGAATCCTAGGTTTGTTGTGCCTGGGCTTGTCCAGTTGTTCGAGATGGATTCATATTTCTCTGATCAAATTGTTGATTGATCATGAACTGAAAAAAAAGAATATTATGAAAAAGAAATTGACGATTGAAATGTTAATCGGATGGGATTTTCGCCAAAGTACTTAAAAAATTGCTATAAGCTCTTACGACTTTGGGGATCAAAGTTCTTCTAAAGAGCCAAATCGTAACAGGTATAATAGTTTTTTTATTTTGTTGAAGCCGGAGTGAACTTACTCCTATGATGTATTTTTAACTAGATATTAGTAAAAAACGATTATAATAAAATTTTTAATCTTATTTTTATGTCTACACTCAACATTATCTCGATGTTGTATTCAAATTAATATGAATTGCCTAAGCTTAATGAAAATTTATGTTATATCAGATATAGCTTTTTTCTAATTAAAAAAAATTGAAAATTCATTATTGAATACTGGAATTTTATCAAATTAATTACTTGTTGTGTTGCGAAATGTTAACAAAGTAATTAGAAAGAATCGTAATTGTTGGGATAAAAACTTTACTTGTTGGTTATTCATTTCATCATCTGTATGAATAATATCATCACAGTCATCACTAATTGATGTATTTGCATTCATATTGGTTTTGGAAGAGGCAAACATTGAAATGTGTTCATGTTCTGTATTGGTAAGAAAATGACCCATATTCTAAGCGTGAGATAAAAATTCAAATATTAACATAGTTCAGGGATCTATCCATACTTATGAAAGTCATATTATTTATTGAGTTTTTTTATCAAACGAGAGAAAACTGTCCATTGCTAATTTCTTCGGTAATTCATGCTCAGGCTACCTAACACTGAACTATAAATAGATATAATACGACCTAAACTAATGGCATGGTGAATTAAGTTCATACGGTGTACCATTGCTCGATAGTGGTTGAAATCAGTTTCTCACGACAAAGACAAAAATATTCATATTCAGAAAACAATTTCTCTGTGAAGCTTTTCCGCATATCTTTTTAAAAATCGCTTTATCACTTACGGCGCAGTGTTGGATAATATGAGAATGCGCAAGAAGAAAGTTTATTAATGGCGCTAGAGCAATCAGTTGACCTATGTTGACTGTTGAATAAGTTGATCGAAGTTGGTGAATACTAAGATTAAACTTGTTCTGATATTGATTCATTGTATTAACTTCTGTGAAATCAGAAAGCTCGAGCGGAGGTAATTTAATGTGATAATCGAATGGACGACTAGTTGATGTTTTGACACTTCTCGGAATTCTGATTAATAATTTCAAATCACACAGTTGGTTAATAGCTTTTTCTCGTTCGTACTTCCATCTGGAGCTAAATGAAGAAATTTGACATAAGGTAAAACCAATATGTTTAAACTGAAGAAGTTTTTCAGCAATGCTTCGCACGCGGTCATCAGTTGAAGATGATTTCTTCAACTTGCTTTGTTTTTAATAATGTTTATCGTTGAAAATGTAATCATCCATTTCGACTTTATCCAGATTTTCTTCTTTATATGAGTCTGATGAATTTGTATGGTGTTGTTTTCGTTGAACTTCACCGCCATTTTCTGTCGAAATCATAACAGATTCAGTATAATTGCTTTGTTGCTGATTATTAGCATCATTTGTTGAAGATGGTGGAATTTCTTCGTCATTGACCATACTGTATGGCTTTCTAAAATTAAATCGTTCTATTAAATACTGTCATTAGCTATAGATGTTTGTTTCCTATTTATTCTTAAACTAAGGACGTAGCTGCTGGAAGCTATAATATTTATCAGCTTAGCATGCCCAAATTCTGTGAATTCGCATTTCTTGAAATGCATAGACTGGTTTTTTAGCGATATTCGTGTCAAAAATTAATCAATAAAGTGCTACAATTTCTTAAAGGATTTAAAAATTATACATAAATTTATATTTTGAAGAAAGACAAGGAAAAATAGTTGTATAAGAGCCTTACTGAGATTTTTCAGATGACGATACTAGTTTCATTATTGGATTAAGACTGTTTGTATTTAACGACGAATTCGAACTCCAAAATTCATGTGATTGTACACTATAATAAAATGAAGTATAAATAAGTGGTACACGATTTTCTTTATCATCCGACATAAACTTATAAAATTGATTCTTATCTCAACAGATTTTGGTATATATTATCAGCAAGAGAGATAAAAAAATAACTTTTAAAATATTTGCTAATCTTCTTAATCCGTAACCGAAAAAAAAAACACTCATATTGATTAATATTCATTAGTACTGTATTGATAGTGGATTGAACTACTTGAAAATGAATATCAAATTGCAGTAGGGTCTGATTTACGAAGATCTGCAATTTACATAGTATATCTAGATGTATATCTAGATGGTCAGATATCCAGATATTCTGATATTCCAGTTAGATATTTAGATATTCAGATGTTCTAGAAATCGGGAAAAGGGAAGGTGGGGGTGGCAGGGAAAGATGATAGTGGGGCGCTCCCTGATATTCGCCACCGCGAAAGAAAAGAGGAAGATATCTGAATATCTGAACATCGATATATTATATAAATTGCAGATGTTCACAAATCAGACCGGTCTCTCAAATTGAGCACGTTCTGATAAATCGGTTCGATTTAAAAATCGATTTACCAGTTCAATCATTTGAAGCCGAAATATATTATCAGCTTTGTGATCGCTATAATGTTTGTACTCGAGGTAATATTGATCAAGCACAATGAATGCTAATTCAATAAGTTGAATATTGGCAGCTAGTTGATAAGTATGTTCTCATGAAATTTGGGGGCTCCATCTGTCATTGTTTAGGGGATCTCGCTTGAACGACGGAATGGTGTTCTAGAAAGGCAGAATGGCATTCCAGAATAAAGGTATGTCGGAATGGGTAAAATTCGAGCTCTACAGCTGGTTAATGGAGTTTTCTTGTTTGAGAATATATTTATTTTAATTTCTACTAGGAGAGTTTTAAATTCCAATGGATTTTAATTTCCCCTACAATATATACATAAAGGAGGGGGCCGCATAAGATCGGGAATCGGCCCACTCTCTTTTTTGACTAAAAATGGATCCATATGTAGTAAAAACAGTGCCTCTATTCCGTTTTCGATAAAATCAGATACTTTTGCCACGTAAAACCCGGTTAATTCCTGAACACCCAAGAGCTTAAAAAAGTTTTAGAACGGGCGTTCTGACCCCGTATCAAAACTTTATACGGGGTCTAGACCCCGTACTGAGGCTGATTTATTTACATTCTACCCGTTTCCTTGTGAAAGAGTACGGGGCGTACGTTTAGCCGTTCACTCACATCCCGTATTACTAGGCGTTCTCCCGTGGAAGAGTACGGGGCGTACTTTTAGCCGTTCACTCACACCCCGTATCACTATACGTTCTGCAACGAAGGAATACGGGATCATGAAAAATGATTTATTATGCCTTCGGAGCGCCGCGTCGTTACCTGCTCTACTCTTAGATGCCTTGGGATGCAAAATTAAGTTTTGTGTATATTCTACAGTCGGGGATGTCGTAAGATGAAACGTTTCAATTTCTATGCATTTTCGATCTGGATTATATGCAAAGCCTTTTTACTATACACACAGTGATTCACACGAAAAACTTACTCAGACTCAGGTGTTGCTCTCAACAATAACATTCAAATACAAAATATGAATAGTAAATAGCTCTTGGATGAAAAGTTTGAAAAAATGAATCTATATCA